AATGGCTCTGCTGACAAATGCCCTGGGTACGAGGTTGGAATGAGCTAACATTTGCTAACTTTGCATAATTAATTTATTTTCAATTTCTAACGGTGGAAGAATGTGAATTCGATCACCAATTTTTATTTGACGAGTATGTGGCCATTTCTTATCGTTAGAATTTAAAAAAGGTATAGAAAGGGTGAATAACAGCTCTTTCGTCCTATGTAAAAATTGAATTGTTTAGCTAAGTTTATGATGCACGACAACCCGTAGCGTTATTTTGAGACGCCCTGTGGAAAACTGGTCGTATCTACTCACGTTCAATCGAATTGGCAATTAAAATTTGTCATTTAAAATATGTTATAGACTTCATTGAAAACTTGCTCGTATGTAAGAGGTTCGAGATAGTGTTAAATTTTGTTTTTAAAAACAATATATAATATTTTATTATTACTATAATATTATATTATTACTATTTTTCTTTGCATATGCAGGTACCCTAGGTCTTATGGCACCTGAACTTTTGGTCAACGAACTTCAACTAAAAGAGGCCTCGCTTGCTGATCTCATTATGGCTGACGTATGGGCTTATGGTATGGTTGTTTTTAATATAATCAATCCCGGTTTAAAGCACCCGTATGAGTTAAATATTGAAAACTGCTGCGTAAGAGATACGCCTTTAAATATGCTTCAAGGGTTTGCAAAAGAGAAGGAAATGCCTGTTGCACAACATAAGTACGAGTCGCATCATCAGGGAGAATGGGCCAATTTAAAAATTATCTATGAATCCTGTACTACAATTTGTCCATCTTCACGGCCGTCCATGAAAGAAGTTGTTAACATGATGCGCGCAGACAAGCGATCGACAACAAGTTCCAGCTCTACACCGCATGGAAATGCAACGGAAATCCACCTTAGAATTAGCCAGGCTTCAGCAATTGGCAACGTGGATCAAGAACTTCTAAAGGGACAAGAAATAATCAATGACCAATCCGTCTACCATGCTGAACCCGAGATTCCAGGCGATGCAACCAATGCATGTGCATTTCTCACCATCCTGATAGCACACGAGCTGCACGAATCGGAAGTTATGTCCTGGCGTTGCATAGCTGAAACTGCTGAAAGCATTATTACCATATACCCACATGTTTTCAATCGATTCCGTGATACTTCTCTCCATTACGATATTATGGAGGCCTATACCATGTTAAAGGACAATAACTGTCTCCCGGATGACCGTTACTATTTAACTGAATGTTTGCTTTTCGAAGAAAATGCATTATCTCAGCTTGGAAAAGAGCAATTACTTCAAGCGATGACTAAAGTAGCTTTAGCATGTCCATCGTATGGCTTCTATACATGTGACCAGTTTATTTTTTTAATTGGTTCATACGACTTGGACATGTTTGTTCTCGACACACACGAAGTTCCTGTCGCAGCCGGTGGGAAGAGCACTGCCCTTTTGAAAAGATTCCTTGGGACAAATGAAGAATCTGCGAAAGAATGTTGCCGTTGGTTATGGAAGCGGTTAGCCTCATCGAAACTGAATGGTCCGCAATCACTCTCAATGATGGTTAAACATGAATCAGAAAGGTTTGTTAAACATTTAATGTGTGTTCAACTGCATGACGTCTGTTGTTTGAAAAATGTTTTATGACATATGTAAACAGATTTCCAAAAAATAACTAAACAAATAAGTGCGCATATTCGTGGAACCATAGGTGGAACTGTTGTTGATATTTTCAAGTTTCACTTTATCACGATGTTCGAAATCTTTTTCGTTTTAAAACTAATTAGTAATGAAGAGAGTGCGTCAGATCCTCCATCGAACGCCCCCAACCAACAAAACCCAACACTGGACAACGAAACAGTACAAACAGCCGACCCACCAGATTGTGCCGATCAAGAACAAAGTCAACAAGCAAGTGCAGCGTATGAAAATAGGAACAGCGAAGATGATCGGCAACATCCCTCATGGTATCTCATTGATGAACCAATGAATGAGGAGTTTTATCGTATATCTCAAACTCAAGATAACATCGGGTGTTCTACAGCTTTTATTGAACAGGTTGTCCAACGAAGTCCGGATCGAAAAACAGCTAAAAGGAAACAGGTAGGTGTTTATCGTTTAAAACATTCTATTGCATGCACTTAAACTCACAAAACCACGATTGAGATCGATCATAACTAGCGCCGTCAACGTCACAATGAGTAAGTAATGACTGAAATTGTCTGTACCAGTGTTGGTAGTACAAATGTGAAAATGCTGTGCTGAGTGGTTATATCACCACCTTAAAAAATGAGCAGAAACTCGACGTTTCGAGCGAATGTCCTTCGTCAAGAGTTAGTAGACTAACTCTTGACGAAGGGCATTCGCTCGAAACGTCGAGTTCCTGCTCATTTTTTAAGGTAGTGATATAACCACTCAGCATAGCATTTTAAAGTAATGACTGGTCTGCGTTATATGGAAACCTAGTTTATACCTTGTTTATATCAACTCATTATTTCTTTACAGGTTATCACTTTGTCGTCCGAGTCCGATGAGAATTCTGATATTGAAATTCATAGTCCAACATGCAAATCGTAAGTTCATCACGATATAGCGTATTTACCTGATTGAGCTGCGCCCCCAAATGAGCGCCGCGTTTGAGATCATTCTTTTAAGCGCGCCGCCCCCAATGAACGCCACACTAAACAGTGCAAAAACTTTCCGCCGTCAAAATGGGGACATTTAGTGACAAAAACCTATTAATTTAAAACTTGTGTATTGTTGTTAAAAGTCCTTGTTATAATTTACAAATAAAAAATATTTTTAAAGAGCGCCGTCCCCGATTGAGCGCCGCCCTCGAATTAGCGCCACATCTGAAGGTCTGAAAAATTTAAAAAGCGCCGCGGCGCTCAAACGAGTAAATACGGTAGTTCGTATACAGCTCTGTTTGTACAATGTTGTACAAATGCAAATGATCATTTGGTGGATATAGTGTAATTTCCATCCTTATCTTACAGTTCACGCATCACGGACGAAATGGAGAGTAGTAGTGGGAATGATGAAGACGAAAGGGGTTCAAGCAGGTAACTGAATTTAATTCACAACATATTAAATTACTCTGATTCAGATATATAGATTGTTTGGGCACTTATCATTACAATAACCAAAAAAAAAATTGGCAGGAAACATTTTCCAGAGCAAGGGGGCGCACGCAATTTAAAAGCTCAGAACATTTAAACTGCGCACGCAAGCCATTCTTTGTCCGGCTAGAAAATTTATCCTTATGAATTTTTTTTGTTCATTCTACATTTCCAACTCCAGGACAATCTATATGGATCAAAATTTTCATGACATAAATGGTTTTGTGGACTTGACAGCCGTATCAAAATTGTTTACTTCTTTCTAATACATCCGAAGATTGCAACACATTACAATGACATACTGTACATCTTTAGTTGCATTTTGCTTTTAATTGGTTGAATCAAAGGTTTATACAACATTTTGTTATTCATAGAACATTACATCATTACAATGACGATGCAAATACTCCAGTGTATGAATGGGCCACAAAAGTCAAGAGTGTTGACAAAGTGTTACCTATTTTGCTGATGGAACCAACTTTTGCGACAACATGCACGCGTGTTCCAACTGCTATCTCGGACGACGTGTGTTTTCTTATTGATACAAGCAAATTATCAAGTCACACAGATTGGAAATGTGATGATATGGGAGCATGGAAGAATAATGGCGTACAACGTCACAAGCTACGAACACCCATAAGTGATGAAGATCTATTAGAAAACGAGCACGTTACAATCAATGAACATACTGTGAAAAGAATATATTTTAAGAATAATTCATCGCCTGACTTAAGGAAATACGTAACATTCTTGGAAGGTATGTATATTATGTTCAGATGATTTATTTCTTAGCATCCGTCCGGCGCTGGTAGGGGGGGGGGGGGGTTCCCTCCAGCTGCCAATTCTCGGGTGCGCAATAATGAAAAGGGGGCGCCGATCTTGCGCAAAATTTTGAAAGTGGGTGGAAAAAAACGAGTTCGAAAAAATATAGTTACTTTCGCCAAGAAAAGATGTGGTTTATAGGCTTATAAACAGACTAAGCGCATAGGCGACAAAGGCATATATTAAATTACAGACTATTTTGTCTAACCGTATTGGCTACCCCACAACGTTAACTCACACGCAATGTCTCATTACCGGAATATTGGACACGTTTCGAAGCGATCACGGGAATTATGCCTTTTTTGCTGGAAAATGCTCCTTTATTATGCTTCACGAATTACGAGATAATTAGATAATTGAATTTGTGATAATGTAAACTTGTGTACGCAATTTAGTTGTTTGTGCAAGAAACACCATGACTAATGTATGTAATGCTGAAACGCGCCCTTTTGGCAGCCTGGCAAGAAAACCTTAAAATGCATACGCGTGGGGTTCGTGTGTTATTGTATAAAAGAGCTGTAAGTTGTAAATGTATTCAGCTCACTAGATCAGTACAGAATAGAATTGGGAACAGATTAATCGCTGGAAGTAGTTAGCATTGCACAATTTAAGTACTACTAAATTCTAACCAAATTTCGACACGTTATAATTCGTTTCCTGACCATCAGATTTCTGTCAAATCTTTCCCCAAAGTCCAGAAAAAGGCATTTCAGAGACTCTAAATTCAAAAATTTTCCAGAGGGGCATGTCCCCGGATCCCCCCAGACAAACCTCGCACCTGCGGCGCTCGGCTCATGCTTTCGGCCCTCGTTTATCAAGCCTAATATTATAGGGGGGGGGGGCATATTGGTTGACAGCTCACATGAAAAATAGTACCCAGCACGCCACTGTACGTTCGGTCTGTTTATCTATTTCTATATCGACCTATATATTTCTATTTCTTCTTACAGTAGAAATAAGCAGTAATAAACAGTATTTTAATTTTCTTAACTAGAATACCCAACAATCATATTCGTTCAGTATCTATTTGATGGGAAACCCCATGAAGTAAAACCGGCGTCTCATGGGAATGCAAAGAAAATAAGTGCATCTGGTTATATAAGAACAAAAGAGAGTACGAAGTCGCGACTGCAAGAAATAACGTCAATGCAAACCCCCAAGTCAGCCTATCATAAAGTGTTGACGGAAAAGGGGGGTATACGAAGAGCATCGTCTGCGAGCGACTTACCTCGAAACAGAGAACAGGCGAAGTATGTCAGGTCTATCTCAAAAGGTCAGCGCGTTAATCACATCGACTCCCTTGTGATTTTGTTGACCCAATGCAAGAGAGAACAGTTACAGCATAACAAAAAGGCATTTATAAGAGAAGTGACCGGTGCTCCAGAAATGCGATGTGTTCTTGGGTATGATTGGCAGATCGAAGACCTTATCACCTTTTGCACAGATCCAGAACGCTTTAGCGTTTTAGGCGTGGATCCTACGTTCAATCTAGGTCGATTCAATGTTACGGTAACAACCTTCAGAAACCAAAAAGTGGTTGATAGAGTAGCTGGCCATCATCCCATCATGATCGGACCGTTGTTGCTTAGTCAAACGAAGTCATTCGACGCGTACAACTATTTCTTTTCCAAAGTAAGTTTTTTTATTCACATGAAGTAGAGGCGTTAGCTTTTTTTATTCGCATGAAGTAGAGACATTATATTTAGGCGAACATTTTCCTTGAATACAGAAACACAAATCCTGAATTAGTGAATTGTCAGTTTTATGTACTAAACAGTTAGCCAACTTGAATGTATTTAATTTTCTCTAATTAGCTAGTAGGTTTGAGAAAGGACACACGAAACGTCTTGGCTTATGGGACAGACGGCGAAGAAGAACTTTATAGAGCGCTGAAATATAATTTCCCGCACGCCGTCCACCTACGTTGCCAAATGCACTTCCGAGAAAATTGCAAAACTCAACTGATGCAATCGAATATCCCAAAAGCACAACAGAAAGAAATTCTTGCGGATATATTTGGACGAAAGGTTGGAGATACCTGGGAAAATGGTAATTATATGCTTTCAATTTTATTACTAGAAAATACATGCATACAGAAACCCTCGCGATCGCCTTGTTGACAAAACCATTGTATTTTCCGAACATGAGGTATCTAGAGTAGTTGTCATGGTAACACGATAATTTTTGAAGAATATTCTTACAAATGAAAAATCGCCTAAAAATATCACCTTTAATTACAAAATTGTAAATTTCCCAACATATATATATGTTAGGTATGATATTATACGTATTATAAGCTTCAATTTAAGGTGAAATTCAACCACAAACGCTTCTCAAAAAGTTTTAAAGTGTTCTTATAAAACTAAACTGCCTTTGATTAAATGCCGGTTAATAATCGGTAAACTTTGAATTTGCAATAAAATGATTTCAAATTCTCGCATGCAAATAACTTTGATGTCTTTTTAATTTAAAAAATTCAATATAATAAAAAGGGAATCAATAAGACAATATTATAAAAGATACACTGAAATTATATGCTGTCTTGTCATAGGCAGCCCAGCAAAATGTGTAAAAATCAGTGATAAAAATGCATTAAACGCTCAAAAATACGTATAAAGTTCGTCTCAATTTGCTATCAAGCGATTTATTTGTGTAGCTCATTATACATGAAGATTCCGATGTTTACGTGATTGTATTTTCATATAGTGTAAATAGTCGGGGGGAATTAGTATCCTCGCACGGCGCTTCGCGCCGTCGGCTCGGGGATTAAAATAGATTGAATTAAATTAAATTAAGTAAAGCTTGTATACAATTTTCATTACGCCAATTATTTCATTATTGAATTGCATTAAATACTTGCAGGTTTGGTTGACGCAAAAGACGAAGACGATTTGAGAACAAAGTTATCGCATTGCAAAGATGTATGGAACAGAAAAGAAAGCAGTTATCTTCCTCCAAACAAAAAACCCAAATTCTACCAATACATTCTGGAGAAGGTAATATATTAATAAATATATACAGCCGTACGCTCAAAACAGAAATTGCATAATACAAACGTTAATAGCAGCGTAGGAAAATTGAGGTGGGGTAAAGCTTTTGAATTTTTGAATCCCCTATATAATCGTCCTATATAATCGTCAGAAGGTTGCATTTTTCGGAGTCTATCTTTTCCCCATTTCTTACGCTTCCGAACTTAATTAATCAAATTCACTACCTATAGTAGTTTGACAGTTTGTTGGACTCAAATGAGACAAAGATACGTTTTCATTACAGTATGGAACGTTGTTACCATAGGCTAAATAATACCATTCACGGTTACTTTGGATGAGTAGGTGACAACTACACATAATACACAAAATTGATAATTTGTTTTAATTTTTACTGTCATGTATTTGTTCTGGTTTTAAGGTCAACATGATAGACCAATGCATGTCCCAGAGAGTTCGACGCAACGCAGGTTTAGGAGATCCACCCCGCCCCTATTACACGAATGATTCAGAGTCAGCAAACGCGATGATAAAACGGGCCGTAGAATTTAAAGAGAATGAAATATCTGAATTTGTTCGTGAAATGAGTGTGTTAATGCAGCAACAAAGAGATGACGTCGAGTCCGCTGTCTTTAACAAAGGCCCCTATGAATTAGCTTCTTCGTTTAGAAATTTCTATATTTCTGAAACCGAATGGTTTAGAAAGAGGACTGAACAAAGAGATCGACATTTAGAAAGGTTCCATAAAGCGAAGATGTCGAACGAGAAAGAAACCGAGACCATTTCAACTGTCCCTAGTCAAACTGTTCCTCGTAAAGTACTTACAGTAAATTTATTAAGCGCCAACATTCAGTCTCTTCCCGCGGTCACGTTGCAGGCAATTGTGAAAAAGTCCGAAGAGTTGTTGAATCGGGAAGGTGCTATAACACCGGCTCCTGGAAACGACAAAGCATTCATGGTGGAAAGCCAGACAACTACAAGACCACACTTTGTAGAAATAAAAAAACCCGGGAAATTGGTTTGTGATGGGTGTCCGTCTTTTGCATCTACTAAGTTATGTGCGCATGCGGTCGCAGCATCGGAGAAAGCTGGCGTGCTGGAAAATTATGTTAAATGGTTCACCAAGAATGGTCCAACAACAATGAACTTAACATCACTAATAACGTACGATAGCAGTAAGGATACTGGGAAAAAGTTAACCAAAGCATCTACAGCAAGGCGAAAAGGAGACAGAGGTGATAAATCGCGTCCCGTTTCATCCATTGTGAACAGGCCATTTTCCGCGCATTCTCAGAGCCCACAAGCATCTCAGAACCCAGGAGCGCAACAACAAAGTTTACGTACACCACGACAAACATTGCAAGCCCAAGATTCATTATCCCATTTACCACATGAAGCAATGCATTCCCGGTACTCAGCACCACAATCACATACACCTGCACAACAATCACAGCAAGTCCAACATTCAATACCGCATTTACGACATGAAGCAAGGCATCAGTGTCAGTACACAGCACCTCCCCAACAACCTGTACCGTATTACATCCCACAACCATCAAATGGGACATTTGAAGTTCATTTACTCCAGTTTTGCCACCCAAATGTTAAAAGTTGCTTCGGATGTTCTCAAGCGCTGAAGCCTGGAGATCGAGTGCCTGATTCACCTCACGACATTACAATTGTATCTCGAATGCTACGACCGTTTAGCAATAAGACAACTGGAGAAAGAATGAACAAAGAGGGCAATGTTTATTTCCATGTTAATTTAGTCTGCATTCGTTTCAAGCAGCCTTATTTTCAGCCCAGCATGGTATCTGTTGGAGATTGGGTGGCATCTCAACTTAGTATGCACCACATTTTGCTCCTAAGGCAATTTGGCATGAGGATTTAGATGTATGAATATTGTATACAGCTTTTTCAATTAAGATTGTTACCGACAATAGTCATGCAAATGTACAATACGAAAAAGATGACGGGAATATAATCCTTGATTTAAATAAGATGAGGATATCAGTAGCTTCGTGAAAATATTTTTAGCAACAAATCACAATGTAACTCGCTTCAGAACAATCAAATTTTACATATTAACCTCATTTGCATTATGAGCGGTCGCTAAAGTATACTCACGAGGCTACTGATATGCTAAACTTATTTGAAACTATGATTACTCCCATCATTCTTTAAGCGCTCTTATTGTACGTTTGACTATTGTCGATGACAACTTTTATTACAATAGCTGTATAGTCCTTGCCATATTAGTTATTCCGGATCACTGATCTGAAACTAACTGGTTGACACATCCTTTTGAATTGAATGAGCTAATTTTGAAACAGAACATTTATGAACTGAGATTTTCAAACTTATCAAATTCTCAACAACTCGAATTGTTAGGTATCTAAATAAGCTTTACTATCATGCAAGCAAATGTCTTTGTTGATATGTATCCGGAAAAGAAAGATCAAGTTGCCCACATCTTTTCTAAAAAGTTTTAAAATGTTGTGGAAAGCAGATAACGACACTTGAGGCGGCCATATTGGTGTGACCTAATTTGTTATTCACAGGCAAATTTAAAGCCAAAGAGAGGCAATTGGCGACTAATTTTTTTCTAGTGATTACGTTACGTTTCCCAATAATAATCAGAAATTGTAAGAAAATCTTAAAAAATCTTTAAAACCAATATGGCCGCCATTACCTTCAGTTATGCATGCCAGATGTGTTGGTTTTCAGACCAGTGTTTCAGATAGGGAAACCATTTATATTAATAGAAAGGCACTTATACGGAACGATAATCATGAGTTTTGCTCTAAAATTGACATTTGAATAATTGGGGTTTTAATATGTATTGATGCAGTTTATAGTTAAATTTGTTAAGATTAATCTTATTTAATACATCGTAGTATTGACATTGAACCTTATCCTAGCCCAACGGCAAACAAGCAAAGATGAGACGCGTTTTCTATATCGTATATAGCTTTAAAATTATACGTTTTCTTTGTTATATCTAGCGAGAGTTTGACGTTAAATGGACGAAATTTTGACGAGATCGAAAACCGTCCGTTTTAAGTTAAAAGATAAAACAGAGTTTTCAATACCGTCTCCGCGTTTTACTGACTCGAAAATTGGGTTTCTAGACAACCAGCCATTTCGAAGTTGATGAGTGGACTGGGGACGAGTGTTAAAAAGTGCCCAAATTAAGAAATGAACCAAGTAACTAACTAAAAAGACCACCTCAAAATTAGTAAGTATACAAAGTTTGAAGACGTTTACATGAATAGCCTTCGAATAACAAGCTTTCAAAAATCGCGATATTTACTATGAAATGTATTGTAATTTCGTTTTTGGGACGCGCGTTCCAAAAACAATCTTTTAATCAGCAATTTCAAAATTTTCGAAAGCTTATTAGTCGAAGGGTATTCATGTAAACTTCTTCAAACTTTGTACACTTACTAATTTTAAGGTGGTCTTTTTAGTTAGTTACTTGGTTCATTTCTTAATTTGGGCACTTTTTAACACTCGTCCCCAGTCCTCCCATCAACTTTGGAATGGCTAATGTAAGCTGACCGTCCCGTCCGTCCACCGCACGTCCAACAGGAAGTTTCATGAAAAGTATAATTATATCGTATTACCTTTGACACAGCGCGAACAGCAAATAGCCGTGCGCTAGTATACAAACTATTACAAAGTGGACATTGTTTTGTACTTCGCAAGCTTTGTGCTTTGCAAGAGCAATTTATTCATTAGAATTCATCTTAAAAAGACTAGGCATTTGGGGTTTATATGCACGTCGCTGATGTACCTTTTTAAGTGGAAGTACAGATAAAAACTAATATAACTTAGCGTTTGTAAACAACCTGTAAACTACTGGTTTCGTATATACTTGGACATTTGACATCGACAAAGCCTGTCTATACCGGAATCGTGTCACTGTAATGAGTATTTCTCTCAACTTTAGTATTGTTTACAATTATAATCAGATTGAGAAAGAATGCGCCTCGATTACATCCGACGAAACAGTTGGACTTTTGTTAAAATACGACATTGGCAAGTACGTTAGTAAACCTTATGTATTAATATTTCTTCGTACGAGTTGTTTTATCGCGTTCAAATACTCACTCGATTACGCGATATTTGCGCAAATGAAATTGGACCCGAGCCTAAGCAGATGTCTAACGTATTTAATTAGAATTTTCAGCGTTACAAAGGTTCGAAAAACCCCGCATTTCCACAATTTAATATTTTATCATTTTTTCGACAATTTATTACGATTAATAATAGTCTTAATTACATTTCCTAAAAAACGCGGATTTGATCCCCCCCCCCCCGTTCATCCGCTTGTCCCCCCCGTCCGTCCGTCCGTCCGCCATCCGTCCGTCCGTCCGTCCGCCATCCGTCCGTCCGTCCGTCCGCCATCCGTCCGTCCGTCCGTCCGCCATCCGTCCGTCCGCCATCCATCCGTCCGTCCGTCCGTCCGTCCGTCCGCCATCCGTCCGTCCGTATCCGCGTTTTATCCTTACCCGAGATTAAAGGTGCGTTTTAACACCTTTAGTTCGTTGCATTAAGTGTATTAACGACCACATTAATACCCAGAGATTAAAGTTCAATAAAGGATACTAAGTGTGCATTTAATTCGGCCGATTAAAGGCCGATAAAATGCGGTTAAAGATGTATTTAGTCGCCTTTAATATTGGTAGAATTGTTGATTAAAGACAACTTTAATCATACAAAAATGTGTTGCTTATAGGTTATTAAAGGTAAATTTAATCAGTTGATTAAAGACCGCTTAAAGCGACATAAAGAATGAATTAATCACATAGTTTCATACATTGATTAAACTTTGTGTAAGTGCCATTTTAGTTCTATTTAGTCGCTCTATTATATTTGCAATAAGTTGCATCGCTTGTGACGTTGGGCTTTTTATTGCGCTTTTTAAATTGAAAATCTCGAATTTGTGTCATATTTTCTGACAATACAGTATTATTCATGGATCATGATTACAAAAACCCGGTCTTGCTTGACTCAAGGTTCATGCTTCGGTAATTATTATAAGAACATGTAAAAATCAGAGTAATCATTTGTAATAAGGAAATGCAACATTAACTCAAATATACAACACGCGTTCATCTTTAAAATAAATTTATTATAACATATACATATACATATACATATACTACACCCGTTCATGTATGAAAATTAAACTAAGATTATATATCGAACTAAAACATTTATAATAAGCCAGACTAATCCTTACGTACGATATTGTTATCCGCAGTTTACAAGGAAATATAGAAAACACTATACGAAAACGGATTTGTGCGGACAAAGGTCGCGGTCACACTAGCGCTTGTGCTTGCAGATTAGCAAAGGATTAGCGTGCTTGCTTGTGACGTCATTCAAGCAAGCACTAGAATGTTAAGCAAGCACGTCGCGGTCACACTGAAAAAGTACTTATGCTTGCTTAATATTGTAATGACAGATAAAGTGTTTTTGGTTTTTGGTAAATTTACATTACGCAATTCTTCGTTATATAAATATATATAGACTTAAAATGGACAGAGATTCTTTGCTTTTATTTCATTTTATGTATCAACGTTTTCGCGATGCTAAAAAGCGAAGAGCGCTTAATCGCAGAAGGCGATGAATGTACCTTTTGCTTCACCAAATGAATCAAAACATGCGACGCTTGCAGATGCTTCAGACGACAACAACATTGCTTCTTATCGCGATCGCCAGAGTGGTCAACCCAAGAGTTGATCGTGAGTTTTGGGTTATTCCTAGACCAGGAGTTGGATGGTTTGAAGTTATACTTCAAGACGAGCATCAATCCCAATATGTGTCTGTGTTTCGAAATTGGCGCGTTAATGCAATTTTTGGTCTTATCAGGATTTTTAATGGACACTTAAACAGGGAGCGTTTTTATTGGTCGCGTTGTATAAATCCTCTTGAGATATGCATTCTAGCACAGTTCAGTCACCGTCCCTACCGTGCTTGAATCTTGCTGCGGTACTTTTGTAGTTTCAAGCAAAATGTATCAAGTTTCAAGCAAGCTCGGATTATGCGTTTTACGCGGTCACACTATCAAACGTGCTTGGAGGCTGACCTGTTGACAGATTCAAGTAGATTACGTTCAAGTAAGCACGATTCTAGCGCTAGTGTGACCGCGGCCAAAGACCCAGTATAAAAACGGAACCTAAAATTATCACGTTTTGAGATTGGCTTTGTAAGATAAAAGTGACTAATGTTTGTGACTCGTTCTTTAGAAAATTCTTTTCAGCTGGCAAAAATTGTTGCCAATTTATGTACAATACACTGTAAATTTCAAGGAGTCTGTATAATTAACTCCAAAATGTTATTCTGTAGTCGTTTTAGACCTTTCTGGTTACAAAATAAAACATTTTGAGTTGATTGAACTCCTTGAAATTTACAGTGTACACAGCTAAATTCACTTATATTGCCCTGGAAACGGTAAAAGGCAATTAAGACTAAAACAGAGCGGGCAAAGCCAAGCGAATAATCCTTAAATTTTTAGCACTGGTCCTAACTGGCAGCTGTTTCATAATGTATTTCAAGTAATTAACGAGCCCGTTCCCTCTACATAGTGGCGGATTTGTGTCAACATCTGCGACTTGCGCTGGTCCATTTTCAACCTCATGCATATGTGCCCAATCTGCATGGACAGTTGGCCGTGTTCGCTGGTTTGCCAGGTTCGATGGTTACCCTTGCTATTATGAGTCATGACTCTCCTTGATAGTCCAGGCAGAAAATCCTAGTGATTCTTTATCGATTCTTCTTTGCTTTCCCAGGCAAACTTTCGCACGTTGTACTGTTTTACCCTATAAGTTTCTTCGTCCATCTAGCTCACTTTTGTCGGATGACATGTACTCCATCGTCGGAGGCCATCTGCCACCTTTGACACTCTTTCCTGGCTCCAGTTAACTTTATTAAGATGTTTGAATGTTCTTGCCAGTTTCTAAAAATGAACACAGTTAATATTAGCAACATTATATTGTATGGTAACAGCTAATTGAAAAAAGGTTATCCTTCGAAAACCTTTGAAACTCTAAGCACGCAAAGAGTTGGGTTTAGGGCTTTTGATTTGGCAAATAATCCTAGTACGCTGCTATAGTTGTACATTATACTGCTTATGATCTATCTATCTTGTCATAGTTACAATACAAAATCCGCAAGTTTTATATAGGCCTAAGGCTAAGCAAGATAGGCCGGTAAGCAAGATCTCGCTCACACTGTGTAGTTATTTTTATAGTAAAAATTGCTGCGCATTTATATAGACAAGCGGGCTGCCAGATTGCCGAGATCTTGCTCGAAAGAGGCGAGATCTCGCTTACTGGGATGGAAATGTCTGCATATAAACACTCACGAGCGGGCTATAGGCCGTTTTCCAGGATGAAAGTTCAAATATACCGCCGCAAGCTATTTTTAACTTACTGTCAAAACAATAAAATATATCAAACAGAATAACAAAATTGTCCCGGCAAGCGGGATGAATTTTTCTCATATAAACACAAGAGAAATTCATCCCGCATCTCGTACTGTCTGCAGGACAGTCTGGCTTCTATATATGCATGAACAGGCTACGAAGGCATTACCGTATTGAGACACTCGAATGTATGAAATTAATACTGGCAATTTTAAGAAGCAGGTAATAATCAGTTGCATGCATATAATATAATATAATTTAAAGACTAATTCGGTGAATCCATTGTGCTGTATATCTAGCTAAACTGAAAATACTGGACTGACTGGACTATACAGTGATATATGTATATGTCATCACGGTTAATGATGTCATTGATTTTGAAAATGATTTCAAATTTGGAGCCAATATTTCAAATAAAGTGTATTTTTATAAATAACGGTCAAATGGACAAAGTTTTTTTTATATCCATATACTGTACGAAGCAATGATGCATTGTCTGACAATTGTAAACGGAAATATACACTGTATAAATAAACGTTTCACATGTACTTACATTGCAAGCCTTGCCCTTGGGCACTCTCTGTATATTTTTTCCCGTTTGTCTGAGTGTCTGACTCGTCTCTCAGAATAAGATCGAGTAATGATATCCATCTTCTCGTTGAAATTCTTCAGCGCATTCTCACTCCCTGTACT